GGCCTCCGGGTGGGTTCAAACCCCCAGTTGTTCAGCCAGGAGTGGAGCGTTCAACCGTTTGGACTCCCAGGGACACCTGTAATTGTAGTAAGATGGAGTTACACCAAGGTGCTGCTCTGTCGAGGAGTAGTTCGTGCAAGGTGCGTTTATACCAACATGTCATTATGTCAAGCTGGGGTTATGTCAAAGTATGCTCACCTCAAGGCACAGTTATATCCAGATGCATTGTGAGGCGGTGCCGTTATGCAAGGTGCTATTAAACAATCGTGCACAGTTATGCCAAGCTGTAGTTAGATCGATTATGTCAGAATGCAGTCATGTCCGTGTTCGGCAGAGAGGTGCGTTCCCTGGCAGCAGCAGGGTTTGGGAGCTTCCCAAGAATTACCATTACCAGCTTACAAAACCCGACACGGCAAGCACCCACGAGGGCACTCCTTCAGCATCGATAGCATACAACCCACCACCGCTGTGATCAAGAAATGCCTTTCTGTTTGGGAAGAAAGATGGGAGGTGGGAAATTGGCGGACAGTACTTAACTCAGTTTCACGAACGCACCACTGGGTGGCGTGTGAGTTCCACCCAGAAGGCCACATCCGTCCTTGCTAACAAGTTAGTATTGGAAGTGCCTTGCAATCCTGCCCAAGAGGCAGCAGCAGGCCCATGAGGATGCTTCTGCCACAGGAAGGGCAGAGAGATGCCCCCTGCCTGGGGAGTTGCAGAGAGATGCCCCCTGCCTGGGGAGTTGTGCTCACTGCCCCCACATTTGGGGAAACGAAGGTCCAGGGACAGAACATGGCTCAGCTTGGGTTGTGGGGTGGGTCAGGGCTGTGTCCCGATGCCACCCTGGGGTCCCTGGATTGGACCGAAGGGAAGAAGGTGGGTATCACATGGGTTCTTGCCCTGTCCATCCCCCATGAACGTGTCTGGGCCCCGGGGCCGTGCAGAAACAGTCTGTTTTGCCATTTGAGGCTGTTGGTCCTGACTGGTCACCCAGCCCCGCTTCCACACCATCGCGTCCAGTGGCAGAGAGCAAGCCTCCTCGGCGGGGGAAGAAGAGCAGGGTGGGGGCTGCACTCGGGGCAGAGGCCACGGAGGATGGAGACAGGGCATGGGCTTACTAAGGCATGCATGAGAACAAGAATAGCAACTGTGATTGCTTTTTATACCACAAAACCCACACATGGACCACAAAGTTACTTTAACTGGGGACATTTTGTCAGGGATGTGCTCTGGTTTCCGGGTGCTTCAGATGGCCTCCCTCTCCAACGGACCTGGACAGTCAGGATTAGGCTGGTTTTCTGAGGTCCCAGTGCCTGTGACATGGCTCTACTCATCGTTGATCAGTTCAGAAAAGAGATAGCCCCCGTAGATGCTAAATGGCAGAAGCGCATTGAAGGCGACGCCCATCCCGCGCCATGCTCACGGCTGTTCCCATGCTTGAACCCGTCGTGGCAGCCACGGTGTCAGTCCATCTTGTTGGCGATCCTCCTCTTTTTCAATGCCCCACTCTCTCCATCTGTGGACCACCCTCCCATGTCACCACCGTCTTCTAAAAAGTGATTCAGGGAGGGCAAACGTGTCACGGTGGTTCTGGAGCGCAGTCCCCACTGGGAGGGTAGGTCGAAGCCCAGGTACTCTGCCTCAGGGGTGGATTCCGGGAGACACCGGTTATGGGGATAACTGCGATCCGCCAGGGAAAAGGCCCAGGCATCTTCTGGGAGCAGCCAGGATGTTTGCTGTCAGCAAAAACACACAGGTTGGGTGCTGAGCCAAGCAAAGGTGCCAAACACCTGTTGCACATGCGAGGTCTTGCAGGGAGCCTGCCTATCCATGCGCATGCGCGTACGCAAGTAGGGTGCACTCCCCGACCCCCCAATGGGAGCTCTCCGCCTGAACTGGAGTCCCGGGGACGGACAGCCTTGGTAATTTGACTCTGACCCCAAGCAGAGGCCACAATGGGGTCACTGTCACTGTCCGTAACTGCTGTGATGCTTGGCTGGAAGCTGCTGTAGGACTGTTGGGAACGACCTGGATGCCTGTTGAGGAGGAAGGAGACAGACAGGTCAGGAGCTGGGGTGGGGGGAGGGTGAGAAAATAGGTAAAAGAAGCACCCCAAAGTACTAATTTCTTCTCACGGCCTGTTTCTCACCCCTGTGTCTTAGAGGCTCCTGGCGTGGCGGTCAGGCCAGTGACCCATCACCTTCCCCTGAGATGCAAGCTTTGGTCCTTGCTCTGTGCAGGTGAGGATTCATCAGAGAAGGGACAGGGTGAGACTGCCCTTTGCCAGCCACTATGATATCGATCGACCACCACATCCTCATCCCTTCAGGTGCATCAAACCTGAAACTTGCCACAAACCTGAGTGGTGATGGGGAAATGGATGCTCAGAGAGGCCACCAGCCCCCCCCCACACCCTGGACCCCAAAGTGGATGAGCAAGTACTGGCAGAATTCAGGACCACAGCTGAGCTCCCTGTGGCCTGGGCTGCACCGGAGCAAGGCTCCTCCCCCTGATCCTCATAGGCTCCTGAGTTCTCAAATGGTTTGTGAGAGAAAAGATAGGCAAAGTTAAGCCAGGCTGGAGGTGGCCTCCTGGCTCTGAGGAGAAGCACGTTTACAAAGTTGTGGCTTCCCAAGTGGCCCCAGTTCTCTTCCAACCTGAAGTGTAGTCACAGCACCGAAAGCAGGTGGATCCCTGGGCCCAGACTGACACGCGCCACACTATGGCGGAGTCTTCTGCAGCCCTGGGTTGGAACACTGGTATGGCTGCAACCAGAGAGCCACATTACGTCATTTTATTGGTTCCACTTCAATGAAATACTTACCTCTCATTTCACACACAAAAAAATCTGTCAACTTGAACGAAGGGGTGGAGTCTAGACTGTCAATCAGGCCATGGCCAATGAGACCTCTGTGTGGGCATGGCCTTCTTATGAGGATTCTGGGAACTCCTGTCTTCCTCCCTGGAGGCAGAACACATATGGTCTCTGCTTCACCTTCCTGTTGACCAGCCACATGGAGCCACAGTGATGCCAGTCAGAGCCCTGGAGATACTTCTACCGCCACTGGATCCACAAGACTTTTCACCCATAGGCCTATGATCTTCCTGCATTTGGTGTCATTGCATTAGTTGCATGAGTCTGAAGAGGAATTTATAGAATGGTATCAGATACATGGGCTAATATCAGACTTATGATCTGAACTGGGCCAGGAGATTTTCTTAATATACAATTACTCTTTGATTTAAAACTCTCTCTTACACACATGCGTGTCTCTGGATTTGTTTCTCTAGTCAACCCAGACTAACACACTGACTACATATAGTGACCCAGGAGCACGGGATAGAACTGCCACCGTGAGTTTCCAAGACTGTAACTGTTTATGGGAGTTGAAAGCCATGTCTTTCTCCTGCAGAGCAGCTGGTAGTTTTGAACTGCTGACCTTGCAGATGGTGACCCGATGCATAAGGTGTAATAGTCCTCTAGAGACACGTTCACTCTAAAGTGTAAACGGTGGCTGCAAGCCATTTTGTAGACAAATGTTTATGGAGACCCAAGTCGATGGGAGTCAGAGGCTGCCATGGCAATCCACTCCCCTTCCTGAGATTTTCTTTTGAGAATGACATGAGGGCATGTGGCTGACCTCTGCCCACCTGCCAGTTTGCTGTACTGTGGTGGATTGCATGCTGTTATGAAGGTGGGAGCTGTGACCCCATTATTTCAAACACCCACGGGGTTGCTGTGATGAACAGGTTTCAGCAGAGCTCCTAGACTGCAATACTAGAAAGCCTCTGTTTCCAAAATTAGCCAATGAAGTTGTGATGGCTCCAAAGAGAATACTTCACCACAGATCTCTCGCTGGAAGATCAAGGCCCTCATTTAGAAAGCATTCAAAATACACAATGGCTGCAACCATGAACTTGGGCATATCCGTGCTCATGAAGATGGAATAGGATCAGGCAATATTTTATCCTGTTTTATACGGATGACCATGAGTTAGAGCTGACTTAACTAACAGCAACCAGAACAACGTGAATAAAAAGCCTAGCACACAGTAGAACATCCACATATTCCCAATGTTTCATATAGCGTGAGATTAACAGAACAGAAATGAATACGTGTTGAGGTGGTTACCAGTGGGGCTGCTGACTGCAAGGGCAGCACTTTGAAGCCATCAGGTGTTCCACGGGAGAAAGCTAGGGCTTTCCACTCCCATCAAGAGTTGTACTCTCAGAAGCCCACTGGGGCAGTTCTACCCTGTCCTGTAGGCTCCCTATGAGTCATCATGGACTTGATGGCATTGAGGTGTTTTTTTTTAAGTTATAAAAAATAAAAAGAGTCATAGACTTTATTAAATGTAAGTGTATCATATAATATGTACAGACAGCACATAGTGCCAATTTTATTTCTAGATATTAAAATATTCCAACTCAAGTGCACAAGTTACACCTTGGCCACAGCCTTGGCTAGATCTTGAACTATCGAGGAGTTCAGCTGTGCTAAAGTGCTGACCTATGCATGTTTAGTTGTCGCATACTTGTTCTTGATAGTCATGTGCTTTGTAAGCCCCTGATTCACCATGACTAAATCCTTAGCCAGGCGCTGCATAGCAGGATAAAGAGATTCTTCGGTGTATGACAGGTAATGCTGCAGAGTTGGTGTCCAGTCACCATTATCAAGAGTTTTCAGTACTAAGCAAAAAGCTCCTGCTGCGATCTGAGAAGGAGGAAAGTGCACCGTGCCGTGGTCCAGCATAGTTAGTTCCATCAGGTATTTGGCCAAAGTATGTTGCTCAACATCAGCCTCTCCAACCTTGGATGCTCTCCGGAGGAAGTTCAGGGGCAGAGGGCACCCCAGGCCAAAGTTTAAAACCCTTAAAATCTTCATTGCCATCTGTCTGATCTGGTGCTTAGTGTAAGTGTGATCAGTCACAAAGGCAAAGTCACCGAATTCTGGAGGGCACGTTTCTTCATATTCGCTTGCAATAAACGTGGCAGTGACACCAACCAGCTGCAGCATTTTCTTGGGCACACAGTTATTCTGCATGAACCGATCAATGATGGAAACAGTCATGTACATGGTCTCTTGCAGCAACCTGAATTTCATTTGAACTTGCACTAGCCAGTCAATAAGGATGGCTCTCATATTTCCAGTGACTTGCCAACCCACTAGGTATTTCAGTTTGACTGCTTGCTCTTCCTTAAGTTGTCTCACATAAAACCATAAATATCTTTCACATATTCGCTACAAAGGTTTAGATCAGCTCCATCTTCCACATCCACATCACTCACTGCAAGAATTACGTCAGAGAAAGCCTGACACAGGTATTCTTCTGCAGGGGCACATCCAGATGTTTCCATTGGGCTTGGAGAGGGAGTATCCACCAAAATAGGCTCAGGCAAAAGCTTTTCTTCTTTAACAGGCTCAGATTCTGGCTCAGGCACAGGTTCAGGTTCAGGCTCAGGCTCAGGCAAAGGTGTCTTTTCCAGTGGTTTTGATAATTTTTTGGCCATAACTTTTCCAGCAGCTGCCGTTTTTACATCCTTTTTCAGAATAATTTTGGCCAGGGGCTGTTTGCTGACTTTGTTACCGATGTCTCCAAGGGCGATCCTTGGCCTCAGCA